ACAGGAGTCCAGAACGAAGGCTGCATAGTGGAGTGGACCTGGGGGGAGGGATTGTATAACAATGAAAGAATTTTTCTTTTACTTTTCAAAGAGAAGAACGAATTGGGGTGAGGGAATGGTGGGCCGGGAGAAAAGTGCAACAATAATGAATAGAAATCCTGAGTTTCTATAAACTTTCATTGAAATTAATAATAATTTTTAAAAAGTAAAAAAAAAGAATGACATGCTCCTTGAGAGTCAAGGGAAGAGGAGCCAGACATCATCCACTGAGCACACGGGGTGCTCTGAGACTGAAAAATGGGAGATGCGATGTAGCCAACAAAGAGAGAGGAAAGAGCTCACCTTTTTTGAAGCTTGACTCCCCAGAAGGCCAGCATGAAGATGGACAGGCAAGCCCCAAGCCCAACAGCTGCCCTCCTGCCTATGGTTTCAGGACTGTCTAGTGGAGAAAGGAAGGATTTCAGCAGATCAAACAAGAGTTAGTTTTGCCTAAAGGTATTCTTGATTTCTTTGGCCATCCAGCTGCTGTCCTTGCCTGCACTTCTCCCCCATGAAGACAGCCCTTCTCTGCTGGAGCTGCCATTAGGAGGAAAGGGCTGGCCAGCTCTTTCTCATGAGGTGCTGCTGCTTTGAGATGAACACACAGAGCTCATTCTCCTAATAACGAATGCAACCATTTCAGACAGAGCACTATTTGGTAATACTCTCAGCACTTCAAATACACCTGTCCTTTGACCCAGAAATCCCACATAGGAGTTCACCCTGCCTCTATCACGTGGGCGTGCCCACAATAAAAGACTGCCGGGATCCTTGAAGAGAGGAGTGTTAGGTGTTGTCAAGTAGGAACCGAACCCTCGGGGCGAGGGGGGTGGGGGTGGGTGGGAGAGGGGGGGGTTCAGAGGCAGAAATCTCAGGTTGCCCTCCTTTCTCTCAAGGAGCAGCTAGTGGGTTCTAACTGAATGTCTTAGGGTTGGCAGCAAAGTTCATTACCACTGAGTCACCAGAGCTCCTACAGGGCCTTGTACTTGTGCGCTGTCAAGTCAGAACTGACCCATAGCTAACCCTCTGTACTGGAGGAGTTTTCCCTTCTTTTTCTCAAGGAACAGCTGGTAGAAATGAACTGCGTCCTTTGGGATTGCAACGCAGCTTCTTACCACTAGGCCATCAGAGCTCTCTTACAGGGCACTAGACAAATATGAAACTCATACAATGGAGTATATAGTGCAGCCATTGCAGAAAGAAGCTTGACTGAAAGGTTTCTAGAAAGTCTAGAGACACGTGTTTTTACACCAAGGACTTGTTTCAAATAACCACTCAAGAAGTTTTGCTTTCATCTCCAGCTCTGCAGGTGGTAATCCCCTAATTTTATAGCAAAGACTCCAATCATTCATCTACAAATGGGTCATCCATAGAAATAAGTTCAATACCCCTCACCCTTATGTTTCCAGACTCTCTAGAGACCCTGAAAATGTGTGGATGCAGGACATTGTCCAGACAATATTATTTTCTGGCAAAAGAAGAAGAAAAGCCTGAGACAGAGTGAGTTCTCCCATCCTGAGTGTAACAAAGCAGAGTATGTGCAGATTTGTGCATGTATGTTACGTTTGTGCAGATATCTTTTTAAGGAGATAGAAAAGCTGTTAGCTGTGGATGTGTCTCTTGCAAGAGAACAAGAGTTCTCAGGCATCAAGAGTAAGAGGGATCTGTCTTGCTATTATTTGCTTTTTGTGATTTTATTTATTTTACTATGCACTTATATTTTTTTAAAACCACAAAAATCTTAAAAGATTAAAAAAAAAAGCAAAATGCTAAAGGTAACCCAGAGGGGGAGTGAGGAAACCCAAAACATGCTAGGAGCTTGAGATTTGGGAAGGTGGGGCCAGCTTGGGAGGGCTTTCTAAAGGATGAATCAGGAGGGAAGGAAAGGGGACAATCGTTAAGAGGGATAAGGTGTGCGGCTGTGGCCAGGGCTTTTCTTTGCGTGGATGGGCTGGGCTGGGTCTACAGAAACTGGAGACAGAGAAAGAGAAGACAGTACAAGGAGATTTGGGAGGCATAGCCGGGGGTGAGGGAAGCCACAGAAGCAGAAGGGCCAGAGAAGAGCATAAGAGGAAGCGGGAAGAGGTCTTACAGTAGACAGTGAGGGTGCTGGGGGTTGAGTCACCCAGACCCAGCATGTTGACTCCCCGGCACCGATAGGCACCCGAGTGCTGGACCTTTGCAGACTCCAATCTCAGCGTCTGGCCAATGTGTTGGAGCTGTTGGTTGTTCTGGTCAAACCAGATGTACTGGAAGATAGGAGGATTGGCGTCGCTCTCACATGTCAGGAATACCTTCTTTCCTTCCATCACTCTGCTGTTTGGGGCAATGGACACCCGTAGCCACCTGGGTGCATCTGTAAGAGAAAGCCAGAGAAATCAGGATGCAGGTTCCCAGGTTCCCAGACACCCGCTCTTCTCTGTCGTGAGCCTCCAGCTCAAGTCACTCACAAAGCACTTGGAGCATCCAGGCCTCAGATGTGGTCTGTCCCATGGAGTTGTTGACCGAGCAGCTGTAATAACCAGCATCTTCAGGGGAGATGGAGCCAAACTTCAGTTCCTTTCCTTCCTTCAGAAGGCTTCCATTTTTCTTCCAGAAGTAGTGGACATCTTTAGGGTGGCTGCCTGAGAACTCACACCAAAGGAGGACCTCCTCTCCAGAGCGAATCTCAGCGCTGGGCCTGATCTTCTTTACCTTGACGCCTCTGGGGGCATCTAGAGAGCAAAGGCCTCAGGCTGATGACCACTCTCTTCTCTCCCATCTTCCTGCCTCCAAGGTCACTGCTCCCCTCAGCCCTGAGGCCCGGCTCTCTTCAGTGGATTCTCTGGGAAAACTCTGGTCTCCTAACCCTCACATTCTCATATCCTAAAGGGGCTACCTCCTCCCAGGTCCCCCGCCCGGGTTACTCACAATGTACTTCCAGGGAGAGAGAGGGAGACTTCGTACACTGGAAGTTACAGGCTTGACAGGAGACTGGCCTGACATTCCAGGGAACTTTTTGAATGGTCAGAACCTCAGGGAATGACTTATTCTTGGAGGCTTGGGGCTCCCATTCATATCTGGAAACTTTAGGGTTACTGGAATTATAGTTACAGACCAGGGTCACATCATCTCCTTCTCGAATTGGTGTGGGATTCTTAATCGACAAGGTCACTCCCTTGGGGAGATCTGGAAAAACAAATAGAAAACTATGTGAAGATGAGCCAGGTGTCCGTAACACTTGTTTCTTCCCGTTTCCTCTCTCTCCTCAACCTGTCTCCTTCAGTGAGGCCTCTCCTAAGTTAATAAAAGCAAAACTAGTGGTCCCCCCTCACACAGGTATGAAAACAGGAGACCTTAACCTTCTAACCATTTGACTTGAGTTGAGGCAGAATGGTGCAGTGGTTAAGAGAAGAGCTCTGATGTCAGCATGCTAGGCCCTGCCATTTAGAGCTGTGGGCCTTTGTTTCCTCTTAAGAGCACCTAACTCATGAAACTGTTTTAAGGATAAAATGAGATGATGAACTTAGACTAGCATGTGGCACATAGCAAATAATCTAGCAAAACCTGCTGCTGCTGTAACCGCACATCCTATTATCTAGATATCCATGGCGTGGGTATTCCTATCAGTGTTCAGACTATGACATCTTAGAATCTGAGGATAAAACTTGTGAATTCTCTTTGTCTACGGCTAAACTCGGTACCAAGCAAGAGTCACTACATTAAAGAAGATCCAACGCTAGTAAGGAGGTATTTCATCTCACTAGTAAGGAGGTATTTCATCCCACTTCTCTCTAGACTTCAAGATTCCTGCTAGGACTCAGTTATTGCTTAACGATGCTAAACTTGTGTCTCCTTCGTGGGTCTATGCATCTAGTCATTTATTCATTCAGTGAATATCTATCGAACATTTACAGTTTTAACTGCTGACAGTACAACTTTGAAAAAAAAACAAGCCCCTGTCCCAGGATGTCAGTCAGAGACCCTGAGTTCTTACTTGCCACCTATCTATGTCCTTAGGAAAAAGACATCATGTTGAGAAAGGTGGAGGATCAGAGAAAGAGAGGAAGGACCTCAACAAGATGGATTGATGCAGTGACAGTAACAATGGGCTTGTGCATCTCAGAGAGGCTGAGGATACTTCAGGACAGGGCAAGGTTTAGATCTGTTGGTCATAGGGTGGCTCTGAATCATAACCGACTTGACGGCACCGACAACAGCAATGCCTCTATACTACCAGACACCAGCATCTCCAAACCCACTTCTATCCTTTCTCCGTAGGACCCGCACGCACTATAACCACTCACACTGTACATCCAGCTCAGCTTTCTGCCCAACCTGTCCAGCACCAATACTGTTTTCTGCCAAGCAGGAATAACTCCCAGAATGGCTGGGGAGGATCTTTGGAATCTGGAAAGTCTCTTCTGTCTTTCCCAGAACTGTTCTCCCGTTGTGAGACCATGTGTAGTTTGTCGGAGGAGGATTAGCTGATGATACGCAAGTCAGGATCACCAAATTTCCCTCTCTAGCTGGCAAGGGGGAAATTTGAACACGGGAAGGTTCTGGAGCAACTGAAAGAAACCACAGAGGTAGCATTAGGGGAGTGAGGAGAGTCCTCTGACCTGCAAGCCTCACTGCTCACCTGCCGAGAACCTGGACCCCCCTCTCCCCTTGTGCCTCCCCAGCGACTCCTTGCCTGCCCCCTCCCGAGCTCCAAGAAGGCTCACACAGCACTTGGAGGGACACGTCTTCTGAATCTCCTTGGCCCAGATCATTTGAGACCTGGCAGCGGTACTTTCCACTATCATTCTTGGTCACCCTAGACAGAATTAGCATGTCCGTCTCCTGATTTTCCAGGTGCTTAAAATCCTTGAACCACATGATAGTCTTCTGTTTGGGGTAGCTGCTCCGGATATGGCACGTCATGGTCACAGACTCCCCCTCTGTTACAATGGCGTCTCTGGGACTGACCTCCAGCTCCAGCTTCGGAACGTCTGTGGGGACAGAGGGCCGTGAGGGGAATTCTCTGAGGTGGGAAGTGGTAAGAAGGGGTACATTCTGCCTGAGCAGTGGCCCACACATGTACACATGGGTGTGCAGTCACTCCACGTCACCCTGTCTACAAGCCTGGCCTGGGGCAAACCGCCAGATGACTGTCAAAACCTCCCCGCTCTGCCAGTCTGTGCTTTCTGTCTGCCCACCAACAGCCAGCAGGTTTCCTTAGCATGTCCGTCAAACCTTGTCTCTTTCTGTTCAAACTCCTCCAATGGATTCCCCGCTTAGAAGAAGATCCGGGACCCTTACTACAGTAATAATACTACTCTAGCTTCCCCAGCGCAACCCCAGACTTCCTTCCTCAGCTCTTGATTCCTGGGATGCTTTAGCTCATCAAACCAAGATAGCGCTACCTCAGGACCTTTGTCCCTTGTTCTTTTATCTTCCGGAAATGTTTCTCTCTCAAACACCAAACTGCCTCAGTTTCTCCCCTTCACTCATTCTCCTTCAAATGTTCATCTTCCTCAGAGAGGTCTCTGTCCATCACTTCCTCTCTCTGTGTTGTAATTTTCTTCTTAGTATAATCACCTGACTACCACTATATCTCGTATGCCACGGGAGGAACATGCCTATTTTTCTCCTGAGGAGGAGCTGGTGGATTTGAACTACCTGTAGTGCAGCTCCTTCCCACTAAGCCACCAGAGCTCCCTTGACATCGACAGGTATGCAATAAATGTTTACTGAGTGAGTAAAGGAGGCATAACTGTAAATAACAATGAGAAGATTTTCCCTGCACGGGAGAAAAGCAAACTTAACTAGATAATTCCAAAATGGTGGTGTGGGGTAGGGGTGGATTAAATAATGTTATTCTGTCAGACCAACACAGGTGCTGGAACGAACCTGCTTCCTAAACCACTGGGGCTGACAACAAGGGTGGTGGACCAGGGTGCACTGCCTGGCCATCTGCAGTGCGGTAGCCACTGGTCACAGTCTGGGCTGGGACACAGGTGACAAGGACCTCTTCCTTCCCCTGGGAGAACTGGGGAGACTCACGCTTCACATCCAGCCGCACCGTTTCCTGTGACAATATCTGCTGCGTGATGAGGTCTCTGAGCTGGCAGGTCACGTTCTTCCCGTGGTCTGACCACTGTGGCTGGAACGTGAGCTTGCTCTTTGTGAAGGCAGTCTTGGGGTCCAGGGACTCCGAGTTGACAGCTGGCTTCTCCAGGGACCACTGTAATTGGACCGGGTACCCGGGGCAGGTGAAATTCAGTAAGCAGGTCAGAGTGACTTCCTGGGATTCTCGGATTTCCTGAGGGAGCTGAATGTGAGGTGGAAAAGGTCGTTCTGCAAAAGAATAGGGGGCTCGCTATAGTCTGGAAGACCAAGGATCAGATAAGTATTTGCTCTGCACTTTCTGCTCCAAGTAGCCCCCCCCAGGAACCTCTCTGGTCAACTCCCTTCTATTGCATTTCTGTCTTTCTCTGCTTTGAGATAACTCTCTGAAAACCCTAAATACTAAAGCTTCATAAATAAACAATACCAAACCCACTGTCACTGAGTCAATTCAGACTCTAGCAACCCTCCAATGAGTCCCTGGAGCTGTAAATTTTTCTGGGATGAGAATGTCCATCTTTCTTTCTCCCCCCCCCCCCATCTTTCTTTCAAAGAGCGCATAGTGGATTTGAACAAAGGATCTTTCAGTTGGCAGCCCATGAACCGCATTATGCCACCAGGGCTTCTTAGGAAATGTATTTCATAGTTACTTCATTCTCACAGCCCAATACTTGTATACTTAAATGTCCTCAAAGGAACTTTGGTGGTGCAGAACTTTGGTGGCTGCTAACTCAAAGTTTAGGGGTTTGAATCTACCGGGCACCCATGAAGGAAAAATAAGCAGTCTCCTCCTGAGAAGATTCATGGTCTCGGAAACCTGATGGAGGGACACAATGGCTGTGGATAAACACCCTCCCAATGGCTCCCGCAGGATACCAGAGTGAAGTTTGTCAGTTTTGTTCAGGCTTTGACTTGAAACATTTCTTAGCTTAAATGACAAACTTGGCTTTGCTCAATGGCCACAACATTGGTGGCTCACAAGCCCAGCATTCCTGTAGTGGAACAGGCCTGTGCGGTCGCAGGTCTTCCCCGGTCTGCACCATCTTCGGGCTGCAGGGCCTGATTGCTCCTGTCGCTCAGACACAGGACTGCTTAGATCCAACCACTGAAGAAAGGGAGTTTGAACTGAAGTGACCAGGCTGCCAGAGACAGAGGCCTCAGACACATGTGTTCAATAGGTCATGTCCTATGCAGGCGCCATGAAGCCCATACCAGGGCTCTGGTGGCCTCGTGACAAGGAGCTGCTCTCTGTTTAAACCTACCAGCTGCTCCTTGGGAGAATAATGGACACTCTCTTCCCATGTGATTTTCCTCTGAAAATCACTGGTGGGTCCCTTACAACTTGATGGTGCAGAACAGCTAACTAGAAATAGAATTAACATCTTTGGGAATATTTAATTTTTAAAAAAAAAAAGTAAATTTCCAATACTGAATATCCCACGACAAATATTTGAGCAAGTGCAGGCATGGTGTTCCTTAGAGACGAGGATGGGGATAGATCATCTCACACACTGAGCATGCCCTGAGGAGAGCCCAGTCCTCAGGAAAAGACATTGTGTTTGGAAACATGAAGGGTGAGAGGAAGAGAAGACCTTCAACAATGGCTTGAGACAGTAACTAACAGCTCAAGTGTATCCGAGATAATGAGGATGGCACTGGATTAGGGCAAGGTTCAGGTCTGTTGTCCATAGGATCACTGTGAGTCATAGTCGACTCGATGGCACCTAAAAGCAGCAATAACTTGAAAAACTAGTTAGGGACCTAGGTTCCTGTGTGCCTGCATGGGTAGGGACTGAAAGGCAGTGCAAGTGTCACTGCTCCTGGGTGCCAGACCTCATTGCTCACTTGACCTCCACAAACATGTTGGATCATTGCCTCTGCTACAAGAATTTTGGATATCCCTCATTTCCCTTCACACTCGGCTGTGACAGAGGTCAGCCTTCCCCCAGACTCTTACCAGAGATGTTGAGTTTTATTTTCTCCATCCATCTGTCACCACTTGTTTCCATCCTCAGTCCCAGCAGACCACTGTCGTTGACGTACGCTGGCTGGATGCGCAGGCTGCAGTTGTTTTGAAGGTTGCCCAGGAATTGTACCCTCTCCACGTGAGAAGAAGTCTTTGTGGTGGACTGGTGGAGGATGGTCCCATGAAAATGCTTTGTGGTGTTATTATACTCATAATGGTGGTACACAGTTAAGATTTCCAGGGACTTCGAGCCATCTCGGATTGTGTAAAGGCAGGGAATCCAGATACAAGCCCCCTCCCAGCTGTAGAGGGTTTGGGGGTGTTGAATATTCCATTTCGTTGAGACAGAGAAAGCCAAGTATCCTGGAACCCATCACAATGATCAAAAAGCATTATTGTAGGGTTTTCAGAGAAATAAAGGATGTCCTCTGAGGATGGGGGAAATAAAGGGAGATAGGGAGAGAGAACAAAACCAAAAAGAAGTGCGGGCAGTTCCCAGGAGCTTAGCCAATTAATTGCATATGCCCCCCTCCCCCAGTGCTATGCAAACATGCCTTCACTTAGAAATGATTGGACGAACCCTACTCAAAACTAATCCTTCATCACAGTCCCCTTCATTTTCTGCCTGTTCAGGTTTTAAATCATTTCTAAGACTCCAGGTTGTTTGTCACACTGCTGTCAGATTGGTCCTAACTCATAGCAACTCTTCCCTCTGGGGAGCCAGGACTGTAAATCTTTCTTCCACAGGGTGGCTTGTGGATCTGAACTGCCAACCTTTGGGTAGCAGCCCAATACATTACTCAATGTACCCAATACATCAATAGGGCCTCCTTTCCTCGCACTGAAGTACCATATGCACTCACTTTGACTTGCCTATGAATTTGACTTAAGGATAGACTTTAGATCCTGCTCATAATCCAGAGAGTGACTATAAATATGGGAACTGCCTGTCCATCCCCCACCCCCTGAAAGAAAAGTACATTTTCTTTGCCCGTGGTATTTCCTCTTCATCCCACTGCCATCCCCAAACCCAAGTCCTTACCAAGGAGCAGGACCGAGATGCTGAAGATACTCATGGTTCGTGTCTAGGCGGGAGCCTGAACCAGGAAGAGTTTGTCTTTGAGCCATATGGTTGCCTTTTCTTCCAAGATGGTGTTTCTTGCCCTGCCCCCCACTGAACTCTGACCCTCCCCAATCCCAGGGAGACAATATCTAGTGGGATTTTTTTCTATGTGGGAGGTGTTTTCTGGATATGCTGTACTCTCTCTGTCCTGAGAACCATGCTTCCCTCTCTTTCCCGTCACCCAGTCCAAGACTAAGTCATTCTTCCATCCACTCATCCATCCACTCAATCCTCCACCTGTCCACCCATGCACCCAGCCAGCCACTTATCCACTCATCCATCGATCCACCCATCTACCATTTTTAGAAAAAAGAAAAAAAATCTTTACCCTTCTAAGGGAGCTCTGGTGGCCTATTGGCAAGAAGCTGCACTGCAAACCCAGAGTCATGTGGTTTGAATCCACCAGATGCTCTGCTGGAGAAGGGGGGACAATCTCCTCCTGTACCACTCAGATCTGATTTAATGGTACACTGTGGTATATTCGCACAATGGAATACTATGCTGCATTAAAAAACAAGGAACTCATGCAATATTATTCAAAATGGTTGACTCTGGAGAACATTATGCTGAGTGAAATATCCCAGTCACAAAAGGACAAATATTACATGATGCCACTGTTGTAGAATGGGACTGTCCTTGGGGTTGGGGAGAGACTGAGTAAGATGGGTTCAATAATGTATACTGCACTGAAACAGAGGAGGGAGAAAACTGTTTAAAAGAGATATATAACTAGGTATTTCTGTCATCACAGGAGACTAGAGCGAGGGCTACATGGTGGAGGGGACCTGGGGGAGGGTTTGTAAAACAATGAAAGAATCTTTTCTTTTACTTTTCCATAATTTCTGGACTCATGTACTTATAACTTGTTAGTCAAATTTGTGTCTTCTAGGTTGCAACACCCCCATGATACATCTTCAAGGATATGAACATGTACGGCCAAGCACAATCAATAAGAGTGCATCTAAATTCCAAAATCAATCTCCATAATAGTCTATGTGCTTCCTACTGCCAAAGGGGCCCTTTAGAGTAGTGAGAGAAGATCTTCACCCTGAAACCCACAGTGTCCCTTGTCAGCAGGAAGTAGCTAAGAGAATACGCCATCCCCTTTTCCTTATGACTCAGGGTGAAGTCTCTCTCAGGGAGGAGTGATAGGGAATGGCAAAGGACACACTGACAAAGAAGATTAATCAGAACTGGCTTTGACAAGCACTGTGGCATTTGGACAAGAACAAACTGGGAGGAGGGTAGAGAGAATAGTGCAACAATGAATGAATGGAAACCCAAAATCTCTGTAAATGTTTATGAAAATTAATAAAATATAGAAAAAAAATCTTTACCCTTCTCTCAGGCTTTTAGTGAGACCACACCACTAAGAACCTCAAATGCCAGGTCCTGGGTAACTTTGACGCTCCCCTTGGGGATACCCAGTAAAGACATAGAAATGAGTTGAGCGAAGAGTTAATACACAAAGGCCAAATGTGGTCAAAATTTGATTTTAAAGATCAATAAAGAAATAGTAATAATAAAGTAAGGTTTTGGAGAGCATCTGGAAGGATTTAGAAGATTATAGTGCAAGGGTCCACCTCAAATGTCCTCAGGGGCTGGACAGGAAATGTCAACAACTACAAAAGACAGTGTCAAGCCTTGTCTAGAGACAGTGGCTGTCTCAGTTCCGTTCAATTGTTGCCAAGTGGAAACATTCACCACTGCCCAGTCTCTTAGGAGCACTAAGAAGCCAGATTTCCATGTGAAACATCCTGCTTTAAACAAAATAAGCAAAACCACTGTGCTGCCAAACAAAATCATCTGGAGAAACCAAGGGTGCTGAGTGACAACTCCTGCCTCACGGAGCTGATGGGCTTGCCCTCCACTTTCTTAGTTTGCTAAAAACTCAAACCCACTGGTGCTGAGTCATTTCAGACTCCGAGTGGGACAGAGTAGGACCTCCTGTGAGTTGGAATTGACTCCACCGAAACAGGCAGCAAGTCTTTTCTCTCACAGTGCATCTAGTGGCTTTGACTCACTGAAGGCGTGTTTGAATCCCTCCATCACCAAGACTCCTTTTAAAACTTTTGCATAGCATTAAATTTACATAGAGTTAAATTTAAGTCCCAATTTACATGGTTGTGCTTTCTGTGCGAGTCCCCTGGGAGCTAACAGGATGTGCCACCAGAGTGTGTCTCCTGTCCCAGCACAGACTCATGCCCCTCCCACCAGCCTGCCAACTTTTCCCATGCATCAGTGCCCCCCTCTTCGCTGTTGATCTCCTTGCCTCCAGTCTCCGTGGCTTGTGTCAAGGACGGTTGGTTACCCAGAGCCAGGAGTGATTGCTAAAAGCAGGAAGTGGGTTCTGGCTCCCAGGCATATGGGCTGGACTGGCCAGCACTGGGCATGCATTAGCAGTGAGGGTCTGAAGCTGAGGAAATTTTCTCAGGCAGAGCTGACACTACTTCTGCAGGAGCTAACAGTGTTACACACAAGAGATCCATTTGAGAAAAGCAAATTGAAAAAGTTAAATTGAGTTCTAAATGTAGGACTTCTCAAATCATTAATAAGCTTGTGTGAGCAACATCAGTTTCCAAAGATGGGGCCAACACAGAGCACCACTACAAAACTTAGCAGAGCAATGCTCTGACGATGTCCTTGAGGGGAGGGGGGGGGTCTCCTCAAGGATTTCAACAACAGTATGTAACAAAGACTAGATCCTATATCTTGTGACAAGCACTCCCCCTCTACCAATACCCACCTGCCACGATCTCATCAGGGTCTGGTCCAAGGACTCCAGAATAAGTAGAATGGCTGCGCTCAGAACTGGGTTGTATACTCACGCTGAGAGCTTCCAGACAGCATGTAGAGAGTAAGAAGTCAGGCCCAGGCCTAGGAAGTAAAGAGTTATAGATATAGGGTGGCAGGTGAAGGCTAAGAATGACAGTCATTAAACAAGAAGGCTCAGGGCAAGGCCACTGCTGTCCATTCACACCAGTAGCCTTCAGACTTGAAAAGGATCTCCCCCCCTTTTTTTTTCTTTTGGCCCCACTATCCAGAGACACTGGTGGCCTAGTGGTAAAAAGCTGCAGTGTCAACTCAAAGGCATGCAGGTCAAATCTACCAGCTGCTCTGAGAGAGAAAGACGAGCAATTTCCTCCCATGCCGTTCACTGCCCCCGAAAACCCACTAAGGGTCAATTCTGACTCAACAGTACATAACATAACATCCAGAGACTCCCAGAGTTATTAGATCTAGACCACCAACCATTTGTTAGAAGATTTGCCTTGCCTGGAGAGAGGGACACAGAAGGGGTCCTGCTGTAACACAGGTCAAAGAGAAGAGAGGTCAGCACTCTATTTCCAGCCCCAAGAACAGTGCCCAGGACAAGGCAGCTGCTCCACACACTTATTGAATGCCAAAGTGATCACACTGTTGGGGTCTGGTCAGGGGTGTTTTTACCTGTTAATTGGTGTCTTTCCTCTTCAGGGGCTCTTACAACATTTGAGAGGAAAAGGGGAAGTGCAGTGAAGCCTCTAGGGCCTGATTTCCCTCTCCCCTTGGCCACACCCACATCTTCTCTGTGATCCTGGGGTTACACGAGAAGCATCATGATTTAGAGAGTGGGGGACACAAAAGATAATGGCAGGGACATAACCTTGGAATCAGATGGGAAGGAACGCTAGAATATCTAGTCAAGTCTTGGTTTCAGTGTTTGAATTTACCACAGGTCAGTTTCAGAACTGGTATCTGCAACTTGCTCTCTACCCAGCCCCCAGGAACCACTCACTCATTGATGATTCAAGCCAAGCACTTTAGAATTGCAATCTGCTGATGAAGGGTCAACTTTAAGGTGTTTGACGTTTAGTGACAATGTCCAGTCATCACTCCTGCTACTTTCCCTCATTAGTGTTCCTAGAGACTGAGGTAAAGATGCACAGACAATGAGCAAGGGAGAAAATCTCTTGTTCAAGGTGCACTGAATGGGAAAGCCACTCAAGGAGTGGAGGGTGGGTTGGTGAGTTCCTGAATTTTCTTTTTGCTACAGGATTCTAGGCTGCGTACTGCGGAAGCCAACCACGTGGGGGGGTGGGAGGAAGCTCTTCCAGTGAAAATTAGCTCCCCTCCTATGTGATTAGCTGCCTCTGAAAACCCACTGGAGGGTCAGCTATGGGTTGGTTCTGACTCTATGGTACACAACATCAGTGAAACAATCAGGAAAGGGGAACCATAGCAAGACAGAATACATTTGGACAGTAACTGCTCTACTCTAGCCAAACGCTCCAGAAAGAACTGAGGCTGAACCCAATTTATGCCAGAATGAAGAAAACCAAATTTCACCCTTGCCAGATTGTAACTAGAAACCCTTTACACTCCCCTCCCTCCTGCTGGAGTGATTGGCTAATCCTCCTTAAAGTGTCAGGAAAGGACTCCTGGAAAAGCTGGTAATAAAGTGTTCCTCTTCCTTATCCTTAAGATGACGATAGAGGAGGCCTAGAGCTCTCCTGGCCTCGTGGCAAAAAATAAAACCACAACTGTGCTACAATCTCCAAGGTACAAGGTTCGAATCCACCAGCTGCCCCATGGGAGAAAGATGTGTAATCTCCTCCTATGCAATTAACTGCCTCTGAAAGCCCACCAGATCAGCTACAGGTCAGTTCTGACTGGATTGTACGCAACAACAGTGAAGAGTGAGGAGGAAGGACGTTCACTGTCCCTTAGTCATCCTGCACAGTGTCGTGTGGAGCAGTTAAGAAGTACTCTTCTCCCTCTTAGCCAGGATGGTATCAGCAGATGTCTGGGTGGGAGTCTGCACTCTCACTCCCCGATGCAGCAGTAAAAGGAAGGGGTCCTCCCCCCAGATAACAGAAAATGTCTTAATATAATTGTGTCATCCTTCCTCCCCCACTGCCCCACAAATGCTTTAGGGAGCTCTCAAGACTTAGTGTTAAGAAGCTGTGCTGCCAA